ACTCTAATTGATGCTGACGGTAAAATTTGATTAAGCCTATCTCTAGTTAGTTCTATAAAAGTTTCTATATACATATATTTTAGAACCTAAAAAATCTCATCTTAATTCGGATTGCTTATTTAAGATGTCTTTTAATCTAATATATTCTCGTAAGTTGTTTTCTATCTTTATTCTAAAAATGTCTAGGTCTACTGTTTTAAAAATGGTCCACTGATTATTCTTGATCACTGCTGTTCCTATCTTCATCGGAGCTATTCGTGGATTCCGCTCGAGATTCTGGATTTCCAGGCTGAATCCTTGCTCGGCTAGGGCCAAAAACATTGTCAAGCTCCACCCGTGGAGGTCGTTTAACGTTTTTCAATGCTACCCTAGTTTTTCTTTTCTTTAGTTGTACGGGCACGATGTTTCTTTCAGGGTTTCCTATAACTTCAGCTTTATCGTACTTGGGTAATTCGTTTGCATTTCTAGTCCTAGTATTTTTCATGAAAATCTGGTCGCCTTCTTTGATGGCAGGGGGTTCCTCTCCGCCTTTTTTGTTTCCAACCTTCATTTTATTCTTTACTAATGTCTCTGCAATGTGTTCATAGATCTGCAATGTCTTGCAGTAATTTTTGATAAATTTGTCGTGCCCTGTCAGTGTCGAAAACGTTACCCGTATCTGTTTGTCCGAAAACTACTTTGAATGGAGTGCAGTTAGTTGCAGAATGAACGGTGTTATTGTATGCCATGATGGCATATGTCATTACTGATGCTGCATCTAAATCGCTCTTATCGTACTTGGCTAATCTGTAAATCTCTATAATAGTGGAATGAAACCTTTCGACGATTCCCATTGAGTTTGGGTTGTTTGGCGTACCAATGGGTAGATTAATTTTGTACATTACCATGAGTTCTTTGATAAGGTCGCTGTTAAATTCGGCCCCTGAATCGCGATTAATCTTACTTGGCACTGAGGATATTTGATCAGTGCTCGTACCACCTCCGGCGTACTTCTATTAGGAATAGCGATAACTTGCCCAAGTTTGCTAAACGCGTCTATAAGAGTTAAGTAATATTTACCCTCTATGAAAAGGAGGTCCATAAATCTCTTGAAAAGGGGCGTTTTGCGTCTGAGTAAGCTGGATTAGAGGTTTAATAGGTTTCCTATCGTATTCCATTTTCCTACACTGTTCACAGCTGTTAATATAGGCGGAAACAGTTTACTTCATATTAGGCCACCAATAATGTCGTCTAATTTTGACTAAGGCCTCTCGAATACCCCTATGACAAGTTTTGCCCTCGTGGTATCGAGATATTAACTGTCTTTGATCGATTTCATCTTCCGCGACATTAACTACCCTTTCTGTACATTCCATGATATTTATGGTGTTTTTCTCAAACAAAGATGTTATTGAGTTTGAAAATATTTTTCGCAATGAAGGGTCCTCAAAATAAATAAAATATTTATTTTTAGGATTGGTATATTACTTGAGAAATTCTTTTACTAACTTTTCATTGTTTACTGGCATGTGTACTTGAAGGATATGTTGTTTTTTATTACTAATATCCTGTACACTGAGATTATTATTGAACCAGGTAAAAACTAAAATTTGTCTTGGTTTTGTATCAATGGCTTCGTTAAGTATAGGGATGCCTTCGTGTTCCCTATTTGAAATAGAATGGGCGGTAGCCCCACTATTTGATTCTAAAGTTTCTATTTCATCTTCTTGTGCTAACTTAACTGTTTTGCTGCTAGTATCTGAGTCAGAGTCTGAAATATTAATAATATGTGAATTCTCGTCGTCCTTTTCTGTATCTAACATTCTTATTGCTGCATCTCTTGCAAATTCATTTAAGTCAAAATCGTCGTTTGGTTTACCTATGTTTACTTGCATGGAAACATCGTCATCTAGCACATTAACTTTTATTCGGGACAATGCATTGGCATTTGTGTTTTGTGATCCCTTTTTATATTTGATTTCAAAATTATATTCTTTTAAACGCAACCGCCAGTTAGTAAGTTTACTGTTTGGTTCCTTAAGGGAGTATAACCAAGCCAGTGGTCTGTGATCCGTATAGACAGTAAACTTATTACCGCAAAGGTGTGGTCTGAAATGTTTAACAGCCCATACTACGGCCAGAAGCTCTCTTTCTATGGTACTGCACCTAGTTTCAGTATCGGATAAGGTTCGACTCGCGTATGCGACTGGTTTGTCGGAGCCGACAGAACCCTGTGACAGAACAGCACCGATAGCGCAATTAGACGCGTCTGTAGTTAAAATAAATTCCTCACTAAAGTCCGGATACTGTAATAATGGTGCGTTGGTAAGGAGTTTTTTACAGGTTTCAAAGCATTCTTTATATTCGTTAGTAATTTCTATTCTGTTTTTCTTTTTTAAACACGAGGTCATAGGCTTTGTTATTTTGGCAAAATCTCTAATAAACTTTTTGTAATAACCTAATAGGCCCAGGAAACTTTTTATCTGAGTAGTTGTTCTCGGTATAGGATACTTCAGAATAGCATCAATTTTGTCTGTATTTGCCCTTAGTCCTTCTCGGTAATTGTATGGCCCAAATAAAGTGCTTCTTTTCGAAGAAAATCTGACTTGTCTAGCTGTACTTTAAGGTTCGTTTCGCGAAACCTTTCAAATAAGGCTCGTAGTTTTTGAGCATGTTCCTGTAAGATTTTTGAAAATATAATAACATCATAAGGTACACTAGGCAATGTAAGCCCTGTAAAGCCTTTAGAACATTATTCGTTGCTCTCTGAAAAGTGGCCGGCGCCGTTTTCAGGCCAAACGGCATCGGCTATTGAACTCGAAATGCTCAAATGGCGTACTAGATGCCGTTTTCTCTCTATCTTCCTCTTGAACCTCGATTTGATGGTACCCGCTTGCCAGATCTGATGTGGTAAAATACATACTCTTGCCTAACATATCAAATAATTCGTTTATGTTCGGTAAGGGGTACTTATCATCGACAGTAATGTCATTTAGGCGTCGATAATCAACCACCATTCTCCGCTTTTTTTCACCCGAAGCATCCATTTTTTTGGTACCAGGTGCACTGGGGCACTCCACGGGGAGTGGGACTCCTGAATGACATTATCTTTTAGCATTTTATCTACCTGTTTCTTTATTTCGAAAGTCTGGCATGGGGGTAACCTATAGGCTTTAATATGTATCGGGTCCTCGTTCCTTGTTCGTATTCGATGTTTTACCTGATTAGTAAAAGACAAGGGTACATCTTCGCAATAAAATATATCCTTGTTTCCCTACAAATACTCTCTATAACCTCTCTTTCCTCGCTATTCATGTGGTCGAATCTAAGTTTCTTTTAATTCTCCGTAAGTACGATATCTAAGTCGTATCTATTGTTATCATGATAGTCAAGATTGGATTCTACCTTTTCTTTCTCATAGATTTCTACCTTAAATGGGGCTGTCACTACCATGATCTGTTCGATATCTGTGTAATTCTGTGTAACTGTACACGCGTAACCATTGTCGCATCGTACCAATTCAGAGGGCATTCGAATCCCTTCAGCGAATTGTTTTGTAAAATCTCTTTACTTTTTAAAAGATTGACGGGGAGTTTAACCCGTAATTCACAACGAGGGGGCAGAATATAAGTCTCTCTCATTGGAGGAGTATAGATGATAGGAATTTGCGTGTCTTTTTTAAATAATGTTTGCGACTTTATGTCAATCTTACCTTGCAATTACTTTAAAAGATCGCTTCCGATTAGGCCGTCGTATCTTTCGTCCACGCTATATACGTAAAACTTATGTTTCTCCTGGGACCGAAAAATTCTAGGCAAGGTGATATTAACTATTTCATTGTGTTTACTAGAAGCGTGGGTGCTCACCACTTAAAATTGCGTCTGTTGTTTAAAATGTGTATAATATTTATTAGCGATTTCAGGACTAATGAAGGATCTGGTACTTCCAGTATCTATCATGAATACTGATTTTAATCAGGTATATACATGTGACAAATTTAGCTGCTTATTATAATTCAATTTCACCTGTTCTCGACTGTGGAGGCCCTGATATAAAAATTTTCTACGGTTTACTCCATTGGGTTACCTGAGTACAACCTTGCCGTATCTTCCTGTCTTTGTTCACAGTTTTGTGTATCATTATCGATATAATTAATACGTCGCGAACTAGCAGTACGCATAGTAACGTCGGTATGGGAACCTGACACTTGTCTGCCACATGCTGACGAGACCTTGCGGGTTACTGACCTGCCCTACATTCGGATTGCGATAATTAAAAGAGTTATGATTATTGTAGGGTCTATGATTCCTAAGTTGGAACGAGTTATTTGGAGAATTAAAATTTTGATTGTACGATGGGCTCCTGGCTACTTGTGCGTATGGCTGCCTTTGCGGATAGTTTGGCCTGGGCATGTGGAAACTATTATTATTAGACGTACTCTGCCCCGGGTATCGGTTACCTCGGGTGTTATTTCGCGAATCGTACTGTTTGGAAATTTTGTTCCTCTAGGACGATTTTTAGGGCGTCCTCCAGGGTTGTAACATTCTGCAATCGCACCAACCTCACCAAGTAAGCCGGTAAGTTATAAAGAAAAACCTTAAGAGAAGTGTTATTATAAATGTGTTATTTTCCTATTTATTTTTATAGTTTCTAGTTCCATAGCCAGACAGTCTTCTGTTCTGGGATCTCCAATGTGTTGAGATAACAATTGCTTTAGCTCATCCCACGATTTAGTCTGATCCCGCACTCCTATTAGGTTCGCGGCTTCCCCAGTTAATCTACTGGTTATTACATGAAATAAATAGGTCATCTGGTTGTCATCCCCGTTAAAGGTGGACAAAATATATTCACACTTCTTAGTAAATACGGGTAATTGTCTAGAATCCCCTTCGAATAATGGGATTATTTTCACCTTATCCGATTAATACCAGTCATTATCAAAAATTAATTAAACACGTAATTATATTACAAGAGTGGATAACAAAGGAAAACTTCAAAGGACAGTGAAAACATTTACTCACAGGTCCGCTGCTACTCCCATTGGTTCTTGTCTGGATTACTTGTCAGGAACTCTGCTTGGCTCTGGCTTGACCCTCGTACTTATTAAATTTGTTTGTTCGGTGATTCCCGTCTAAGCGTTGAAACGCACGATTCTCGACGTGTTTGTACCCGAATTTACTACGGATCGGGGCACAGAAGAATCTACGGGAATCCTACCGGCTGCACCAAATAAGTGACTGGCCAGAAGATTAGTTTAAAAAAAACTTTATTCAAACCAATATTTACAAACTTTTTACTCAAATATGTTATTTTATCACGTTTCTATTTCTTTCCTATTTACAACTAAACAGTCAAGATATTGTATGTACTACACTTTACATAAAATTTACACTGCATTCACTACACACACCCAGGTTGCGATCATAAGTAGTTTCTTGAATCGTTTACTTCTTTCATTTATTGTCTTCATAAGACTAGTAATTTCTGTTTTTAATTGCAATGAGTTACCTATTATTGTTCGTACACTGGGCTCTCTAAAGTCACATGCAAACCTCATAAATATTTTTTCTTTACATGATCATGGCCAATGATATAGACAGAATAACTGTTGAACTAGAGATGCTCAGTGCTTCTAAGTCACTATATTGTCGTCCGGAACAATGCGTACAACACTTGTATAATACACCCAAATCGTTGAGTATTCTGCAATTAAATATACGAAGTATTAATAAAAATTTCGATCAATTCATACTTTTATTAGCACAAATAAAAACACAGTGTGATGTCATCGTGTTATCTGAATGCTGGCTGCAAAAATCACCACAAATTCCTCCTTTGACCGGTTACGAATCCTACTATACTAAGCGATGGATAAATCAAAATAATGGTATTGTGTTATATGTGCGCAGGGGCTTAAATTGTAACGTACAAGAGATTGCTTCTTTTGTTGATGCGGATTGTCTCGTTTGTAAGTTAGGAACTGACGTGGCACTAATCTGTATCTATAGATCGCCCTCGATATATAACATAGATAAATACTTAAATAGTTTGAACGATCTTCTATTGACTTTAAATGCCGTCCCCTTTGTTTGTGTAGTGGGAGATGTTAACTTGGACATAAAGGAAAATGGCACCGATCTGCGATCTGACCAATACTTGAATCTGGCTGCAGGCCATGGCCTCTTGCCTGCTCATATTCTTCCCACTCGTGGAGAAAATTGCCTGGATCACGTTCTATTAAAATCCAAATTTTCTTCAGTTACTATGTTGATACAATCACATATTACAGATCACTGTCCTGTACTATTGTCGACACAGCTACGATATAGTCTTCCGCAAGTTTCCCATACATGGATTAAAATAGATCATAGAGCAGTTGTCCAGGATATCACCGAGTCGGATTTTTCTGAAGTGTTATATTCAAGGGATGTGAATGTTGCGGCAAACCAATTAGTGTCATTTGTATCGGACATCATCAAGAAGTACACAAAAGTGTTCACTGTTTCTCGCTCAAAAACAACCATCAAACCCTGGATAACTCCCGGTCTACTTCGCTGTATTCGGAACAGAGACTCATTACATAGGAAAGTTAAAAAAGATCCTGATAGTGTTGTACTAAAGGTAACTTATTCACGATACAGAAATTTTATTAATAAACTACTTAAAAACTTAAAAAAATCTTACTTGAGATCATTGCTAATGAATGCAATAAACAATGCTAGGTTAACTTGGAATGTAGTCAAAACCATTACGAATATGCAGTCTGCAACGAATCCGTCAGGCTCCCTGTTGAAGTTACATCCCAACCCGGTAACTTCAGTGAACATTGTGAACAAGTTTTTTGCTACAATCGGAATTAATTTAGCGAGTAAAATCAAACCATCTTTAACCGCAATTTGTCAATCTCCTGTAGCTCGTTCTTTATCCGCTAAGTCTTTCTCTGTATTGGATGTGGACTGTGAGGAAATCGAAGGATTAATTTTGATGATGCGCAATAATTGCGCGGTCGGTCATGATGGTATTTCCTCGTCAATTTTGAAGTCGACGCGCCATGTTCTCATTCCAGTACTTGTTCATATCTGTAACTTGTCCCTTTCTACCGGAGATTTCCCTAATGTTTTTAAAAAGGCTCTGGTACATCCCATTCACAAATCAGGAGATAATGATGTTGTAAATAATTACAGGCCAATCTCCGTTCTCCCGGCTATGTCGAAGATTCTGGAAAAGGTTCTGAACAACCGATTGATTAACTATTTGGAATCAAAAAATCTACTTTCTTGTAACCAATTCGGCTTTCGACGGGGCAAATCCACTAATGATGTAGTTTCTGCCCTAATAGACGACGTGATTTACATTCTTGACAGAAAGGAAAAGTGTCTCTGTATATTTCTGGATATATCAAAGGCATTTGACACGGTCTCAATCCCTTTACTTTTACTTAAATTAGAAGCTATGGGCATCAGGGGTACCCAACTGGATATTTTTAAAAATTATTTAACCAACCGCTCACAAGCAGTAAAAATCGGGAATTATGTTAGTGATGACGAGCAAATTTCAATCGGTGGTGTTCCGCAAGGAAGTATTCTTGGTCCTACCCTCTTCATCGCATATATTAATGACCTATGTCAGCTTCAGCTTCCCAACTGCAGGATCATCACTTACGCTGATGACACAGCCTTATTAATACATGGAAGTACCTGGGAAGAGGTGCGTGAGCTGGCAGAGAATGCTTTTGCTGCGGTAATGAGTTGGCTGTCCTCCAATTTGCTCACTATTAATTTGTCAAAAACCTTTTTTCTTCCTTTCGCGCTCAAACAATCTTCAATACCACCCACTAATGCATTTTTTATAAAGGCCCATACTTGTGTAATCTCAAGTCATAATTGTACTTGTCGTTACATTGCAGCCACCAATCAATACAAATATCTCGGTGTAACTATTGACCAAACTTTTAGTTGGCGCAATCACATAAATTCTTTGACCTCACGGATTCGTAAACTAATCTATGTGTTCAAAAACCTCCGGCAAGTAGTTGATGCTCACACCCTCCACATGACTTATTCTGCCTTATGCGTGTCCTTATTGACCTACTGTCTTACTGCTTGGGGTGGTGCGGCTAAAACGTCTATGCTTAAATTGGAAAGAGCTCAGAGGTCGGTCTTAAAAGTGATGTTTAAAAAGCCTTACCGGTATCCAACTTCACTGTTATACTCTGACTCTTCAGTTCTGTCAGTAAGGCAGTTATACATACTACATGTCATCTTGCAGAAGCATACGCTATTAAAATATGACCCAACTTTTTTGCAGAGACGTAGAAGTGCCTACGTATGCCCTCACAGGCAACATAGGACTACCTTGGCTGGAAGGCACTTCTGTGTTCTCAGCCCTCGCTTATATAATATCATCAATAGTAAAATAAACATATATTCTCTTTCCCGTTACGAAGTCAAGAAAAAACTGACAGCTTTGTTACAATGCCACGACTACGATTCCACAGAATCGCTGTTAAAGTAATTTCATTTATCTATAAATAATCAACTAGATTAGATTGTGTAATTTCATTTAAACTTATTTGTTATTCGGCTCTCCTATGTTAAGACCCTATACGCATTCAAAAGCAAAAATTAAGACGCACCTTTCATACAGCTCACATTCACACACTACATGTCCGAATCAGTACCATTCACAACACATTTAATACACACTCTCCACTTTTACATACACACCGCCAACTACACAGCATAGATTAATCTATAAACTTAATTAACCTACTCTTTAAATGTTGTTTCTTTGTTAAATTTCATTTTATTTGCTTCTTAGTCCCAAAAGAACAGTCTTATTGTACTAGTTTTGGGACTACAGAGTTTTATTTAGTTTACTTTTAAGCCATTTGTTTGTTACAACTAAGATTGATGCTTTCCCGCCGTGGTGGCAGCAGTACTATCCGCTAACACAGGTTGAATCCTTTTGTGGGGTCTGGATGTTGCCTGGCTGGTTAGCAACCAATCAATTACTTAAAACATATTACTGTAATTATTTTTATAATATTTGTAATGGCTATAAATAAAGTTATTATTATTATTATTATTATAAATTAGGCCAGCGTCACCGCTGCGGGTGGGTGGCGCTCGGTTGTTTGACAGACTAGTTATTTTGAACTTTAAATTTAGTAAGTGTAAGTTGATATTTGAATATGTGCGACGAAGTAAGATAGGTCTGTTATGCTATTTATTATTGCAATAGTGCATTCAATATAGAAAAAGGATGATGGTGTAGTTAATTCGCTAGAGCGAGAGAGAGGCGTTGCGCCCGTTGTAGCGCAATGCCCTTGAATCTATCGGAATTAAACTCTATTGCAGTATGTTAAAAGCGTCGATAGCCGCGCTTATGTTAAACATTGGAAATAAATTAATTTCTAAAACAATAGTTCATATTCTTAAAAGTTACTTTAGTTGATTCAGTTAAACTCGTCTCACGAACGAAAACCAACTTAAGTTGAATGATCGACTAGTCGACGAATTCAACTAGTTGAGTTGATCGTCGACGATGGACGGTTGCGTTTCGTTAACGGAAAACGCGTCGACGACCCATCTCTACCAAACAATAACACCTACACGATTGTCGTGACGTATTTTTGAAGTTGTTTACTTTTTTAAATGACAGACCCAGGCATTAAAAACTTAATGGTTTGCTAGAGTAGTTACCGAAATAGCAATTAATATTAGTTCTTTTACCTGGTATAACTTCGATATCTGATAAATCAGATAGGTGATGATTTTATACCGATTCGACGATTTTATACCATCAAATAGAGGTGCCCTCTAGGTGTGCTATGCTTCCAGAGACGCACGAATCGCGCAACGCTCTGTGGCAGCATGCGTCCACGGCTGCATGCATCGCGTGAGAGGATATTTTGATATCCTCGCACGCGATAAAACAAAAATTAGTAGAAAATGTTTAGTAATTTTCAAAACAAATTACTCAACTCGAGTGTTTAAATTTTCGCGAATATCACTCATTGAAAATTAAACTATTTTTTCAGATCTAAATCGCGTATTTGGGTATTTGAACCCTTTACAGGTCCTGTGGTCACGGCGGACTCAGTCCCGAAACGTTGGTTTCTTTGAAAATACAAATATACGCGATATAGATACGAAAACATAATTTAATTT